CATTTCTCCTAAAATAATTTGAGTTATTTTCTTCCAACTTTGTGACTCCAATGTCTTCAGATAAAAAATAGCAGATTGTGCAAAACCTGAAGATAATCAACTTTACAAATGCTTCTGAATCTGCTCTTCCTACAGTTGAAACCTAGTCACCAATCACGCGTATCCAGGAAACTGATAATAGAGGAGATAATTCCTTTAAGGAGTAATTTGGGTACAAGTATAGAGAATTAGGAAATAGCAGATGTGGACCCATTCCAGATTCACTCATGTTGGCTCAGGAGACTAACATATGTTGATGTCATTGATGTCAGTAAATCATGTATTATGAAGACACTTGAAGAATATAAATGAATACAGGGCACCTGGAAGGCTTGGCAATGCTCAGAACCTCAAGGAAACGTTAAAAGGAATAGTTGAGATTCTGGTTAATGTTTTTATAAGCTGCGTAAATAAAGAAGCTGTACCTGGGGATTGTTGATGTAAATCCAACATTCAAAAAACAGAGTTATGAACATGGAAACTACAGGCCAGTCAATATTACTGTGAAGGAATTGTTCGAGAGCATTGTATAGGATATAATGCATGTTGTTTTAAAGATCACAGATATTGTAGTAGTCAGCACAGGTTTACAACAACAAATTACACATATGTAACAAATTACAAAAAAACCATAGAGGGCTTTGAAGGTGAGAACCTGGATCTTGAACTTATCCAGTGGAGTCGGGCGAGGATAGGGATAATAGGGTCACGGAGCGAGTTGTGGGAGGGACAGGGGCAGCAAGGTCTTCAGATGGGACTTGAAGGAGGCAAGAGAGGGGGTGAGGTGGAGAGATTGCGGGATAGAGTTCCAGAGTGTGGGGGCAGAGGTGCTGAATGCCTGACCACCCCATGAGCTAGGTTTAGGAACAATAGCTCATGCTCACAATCAGCTTAAAATACTTTGCAGAACTAACTATATTGGTTCTTAACAGCGATCCATTGAATGCAATTTATTTAAGAAGATATTTGATAAAGTTCCACATGAGAGACTTTTGAATAACATGGAATCAATGGTAAATTATTTAGATGGATTGAAAACTGCCTTGCAGAAGGTCTGCGGAAGATTGAGTAGTGAAGTCCTGATCCGTATCACTGAATGATGTAGAATTGATCGTGAGGTGATACCAAACTTGGGTTGATTGAAGGAGGATAGGAAATCTAACTATGGGAAGTAAGAGAGTTCCACAGTCCCGAATCAATGGAAACGAATGAGTTAGAATGAGAGATTAGGATTGAAAAAGTAAGCCCAGATCAATACTTTAGGATGCGTAAGAAGACAGAGGAACAAGAGGATATTAGTTTTGAAGTGTAAAGGATAATTTCAGGATAGAGACCAACAAGTTTTCCTTTATGCGGAGATTAATCAATGACCGGAACAGATGATCGAGGAGGACACTGGACTCATTTAAAAAAATAAGCTGATACTGTGATGAGCGGACTGTAAGGTGGTTGTTCTAGAGGGATGAGATTGGATGGGCTGAGAGGCCTTGGGATTTTGTGATGTTTTGAATGACTCTTGATTGGAGCACCAGTTAGGATCCAGGGAGAAAGAACAATTTATTTGAAGATTAGAAGGAACAAGGGAGAAAATTTAGGAAGAGCAAAATATGGCAAACAGTGATGTTCCTTAGGGGTGAAATAAAAAGAGAAGTGATGAACAATATAATCCTAATGGTGGCCCACTGTGCCTAGAACCTTTGGCACATTAGTTGTGTTTCTCCTCAAAAATGTCAATAACTTTTAAAAAGTTATTGATGTCTTTACAGATCATGGAATGGAAAGTAACATATTGTGTTCTGGAATGCTTTTAACAAATGGCTTTGTCATCTTTATGGTGGGAAACTGTAACAGAAAATCTTTAATTTTCATATTACACTGTAATCTTACTGACTGCCCAGGGAGATATTAAATGGGGATCATAAAGAATTTGTACTTCAGGGAAGCCATTGAGAACCCAATCTCTTATGTTTTCTCATTCGTCCCTCTCATCCTAATACCAGATTAGTGCCAGTTCACCTTGAGGCCTGTCTGTGTGCCTCCAATTTCTGCTGTCTGTCTCACACACTGGTCAACAGTTAGCCCCCTAGTTAATATTATCTCTACAGCAACCACTTATGCTGTGTTGTTTTCATTTTGTCCTCTCTTTAAGGCACTGACCTATGCTTGAGTGGGATCGCAAAGGTCCCGGGAACCTTCTAGTACTAAATGGCCTTACTTCATTTGTGAGGTGAGGAGCTATTCGCCATCTGTGCCGGATCCTGACCTCACTTAATGCTACAATAACACTCAGGCTTAACCCGTGGACATATTATCTTGAAATTTAAGATTGCGCAGAAATAAGACTAAAATCAGTCTTACTGATGGCTTAGTAGCGACCTGATGCCATCTGCAGCCGTATTGTAGTACTAAAATGTAGTCTTCATTTGGAAGCCTGTTTCTTCAGAAGATGAACTGCAGAAAATCAGCTTCCAAAGTAAGACTGAATCTTTGAAGAATTTTCCTCAATTCTGTGCAATCTTAAATTTTATGACAACATGGCTTTATAGATTAAGATTAGGTGCAGTTTTAGACACTGACACATTCTCCCGAAGGAAGCATTAAGTGAAAATCAAGAGTAGGAACCTTAGCTGATTTTGTCCCTTCCCCAGAGCAGGGCCACTGAAAATGATTGTTGTATCTTTATCTTCAACTTTACTGAGATGAACAAACTCAGCACAGATCAGTTGTTTAACTTTTATGACCTGTAAGGCTGCAGATGGCATCGGGTGGCTACTAAGCCATCAGTAAGACTGTATTTCTCTTGCTATAATAAGCTGCACTTGTGAATTGGAGGCCCATCCCTGTCAGTCCAATTTGCACTGTATCTCTCTAAAATAACATGAACTAGCATCAGTCCCTAAGAGACCTCATTTAACCACTCAGTATTCTGTTGAGTCTGACAAAGCTGAGCTGTTCTTTCTCTAGCTATTACTTCCTTTGTTTATTACATTGTACACATCACATTAAAAGAAAAACTCTTCCTAAGAGAAGGATAATTGCATTATGGCCAAGGATTAGGAGATCTGAACAAGTGTGGGTGAGCAGGGATGGAGGAAAAGGGACAGATGAACTCACCAGTTTATGTTGGATTCTGCTGGAGTGTTCTCTTCAGATTGACTAATAACAATGTCAGTCCAATTTGCTTCTCCCTTCTGCGAAACTATATAGCATTTGGCAACTGATTCTGATTGAGGTACAACCATACACTTGCTTCATAGTGATCAAGCTCTGGGTATGGTTTCTGTCACTGCACATCTGGTGGAATGATGTTGTGCATCCGTCTGTGTTTAACATTACAGGAGGGATGTACAGAACTGCGGGATATTCTCTCCTGCTGACTGCATCACTATTGCAAGTGGGCCAATGTCACCAGTGTGATGTTATTTCAATGAAGCATTTTGTTCAGTTGATAAATGTGAGATGTGATTACATCATCCATGTATTATTGTCATTTTCTGGTGGGGTAATAATCCCTTAAAAAAAGTATTAAAATTTTGGTCACTCAATACATGACTGTTTGTAGGACACTGCTGTGCGCAATTGGCTGCCACGTTTCGCTCACAAAGTATACAGTCAATTCACTTTTCAGTACATTCTGTGAAGTGCTTTGACACATCTTGAAGACGCGATAAGGCTCTATATCAAATCCAATGATTATTGTTATATTTTCCCCTATCACAGATAACATTGTCATGACCAGAAAATGCCTTTGTATCTTATGCTTAAAATGTTAATTTTTAAAACTTTCCCCTCCTCCAAGAGGTCCGTGCAGTGTTTACAGCAACAACAACTTGCATTTATATAGCTCCTTTCATATGGGGTAGCGTCCCGAAGCACTTAAAATAACAGTTTACAATAAATTTCATTTATATAGCAGCTTTCACATAGGAAAAATTGGGTATCTCAATAGGGATGTTTAAGAGAGAAATAGACAGACACTTGGTTATTAAAGGTACTCCAATTGCTAAGAAAAAATCTTTTACTTGTGTCTGAGTAATGGGATTTGTCGCCAGAGACCAGTAGTTTACATCAGCACAAAAAGTGCTCAAAACAGCTCATATAATGCACATGTTCCATTTAGTCAGCCTACTGAATGATCATTGAATGATCAACATCAGATTCTGTATAAAGACGAAACAACTTCTTTTTTATGAATGTCTTCCATATTACTTTTATAGCACTTTAATGTAGTCAAGATTCAAGTCAGTTTTTGAGACGCTATCTTCATTTTGTGGGATTGCTATTAACTGATGGAGTAATGATACTTGTGACCAGTGCACAAACTAGGCATCAGGTTCAACCCACAGCTGTCCTTCCTTCCCCACATCCGGTCCCTGACCAGGATCGCCTTCCTCCACTTCCGCCACATTTCCAGCCTCCGACCGTACCTTACCCCGGATGCAGCCAAAACCCTCGTCCACCCGTTCGTCACCTCCCGAATGGACTTCTCAAAGAACCTCTTTGCTGGTCTCCCCAACTCCACCATGCACAGAATCCAACTGATCCAAAACTCCGCCGCCTGCATACTCACTCTGTGCCTCCATCACACCAGTTCCAGACAAGCTCCACTGGCTCCTCCTCACCGAAAGGGTCGATTTCAAGATCCTCACACTTGTTTTCAAATCCCTTCATGCCGTGGCACCTCCCTAACTCTCCGACCTGCTTACTCCCCAAAACACAACCCGCTCGACTGGCTCCAGCCTTCCTCATGTCCCTTGTGCCCTCTGTTCCACAATTGATAGCCGGGCTTTTAGCCACTGGAATACTCTTCCTCTATTCCCCTGCCTTGCCCCTTCTTTCCCCACTTTCAAGTCACCCCTGAAGACCTTCCTATTTGACTGTGCCTACGGTCACCTCCCACTCCCCCCGGCTTGGAGTCGTGCTCCTCCACTGTCAAGCGCTCTGGGACACTACCCTGCGTAAGAGGCACTATATAAATGTAAGTTGTATGTGTGGTCTGTGGAAAGAGTAGACTTGAAGTGGTGAATAGCTTTTTTTGTTCCAGGCCTTCTTATGTTCTTATGCTATCCAGGTGTGCATGTGGAACATTATAGTATCTGATGCCTCAAATCTCTCTCCTGTTTCAGATTGAAATGCTGGAACACAAATATGGGGGTCACTTGGTCTCTCGCCGAGCTGCCTGCACCATCCAGACAGCATTCCGTCAATACCAGCTCAGCAAGAACTTTGAAAAGATTCGGAATTCCTTGCTGGAAAGCCGAATGCCCAGGCGAATATCTCTGCGGAAGGTCAGGTTACAGAATGCGGAGAGCCTCATGGAAGGCTATAACTTTGCGGGAATTCCCCTGGTTCGTTCTCCGTCCTTGCCCGCCAGCATTAGTGGCGCCCTGACTGAACTGGAGGACTCCTTCACAGAGCAGGTCAAGTCCCTGGCCAAGTCCATCGATGACGCTCTCAGCTCCTGGAGCTTGAAAACCATGTGCTCACTGCAAGACGGCAGCACGTACCAATTCACAGAGGCATTCAGCAGCACTTCGATGCAGGAGTGTCCCGGTGGGGAATCGGGGAAATTGGGAGCTGAGGGACTGGAAAGGACCGCTGGGAAACAGGACGATGGGCTCCCACAGAGCGGGAGTACCCTCATGATGGCTTTCAGAGATGTAACTTTTCACATCGAAAACAAGAACTTGTCGGTTTCTTCATTGCTAGAGTCTGCCTCAGTCGCCATGGCAAACTGTCAGAACACCCAGTCAGAATCAAGCCAGAGCCCTCCAAAGGCCGATCCCAACCAATTGGAAGAGGCAGACAAAGTGTCCGAAAATACTTCCTCGGAGCAGGAGAAGATGATCACGCAAAACAGCCACGCTTTCACAGAACTCAATGTCAATGTCAGCTCAAACGGACTTGAGGGAGAGATGATAGAACAGGGACAGATGACCGTCCAGAAGATCCAAATTGATCAAAACAATGGGATTGTGGCAGCCAACCAGGTGGAAACCAACCGCTTGGATAATGCAGAGCATCTCAGCAGCAGCAGCACTTCCATCTCCGCCAAGTCCCCGTCAGAGATTTCTTCGAAGGAAGCACTGCAGACCATGATTCTGAGTATGCCCAGGTACCACTGCGAGAACCCCAGCAGCTGCAAATCACCCACATTCTCCACTGACATCATCCGCAAACGCCTTTATCGGATCGGCCTCAACCTGTTTAATGTGTAAGTAAACCCACAGCAACAAGCGCAGGGGGTCGCACAGCGCTATAGTTGCTGAGGGATCTAGATGAAGAGCCAGGGCTTCTAGTGCAGAACAATATCAAAACAGGACAAACCAAGAAACAAAAGGTAGGTGAAGCTACGTTTGGGATTTGGAAATCTTTGGATCGTAGGAAGAAGATAAGACTGAGGGAAGTGAGGGGTTCCACAGAATTGAGGCCCTGAGAAAGAATACATTGAAGGAAGAGACACCAGTTTTCAACACAGTGAGGATTGCAGGGAGAAGTTCATGGGATGGTGTATTTGGAGCTAGGGAAGAAAAAGAGAAGGCAATTCGGGAAGCAGTGACCTTAGTGGTATCAGTATCATAGAGAAAGACAAGAAAGGTTGCAATTGGGATATCCCCTGAGCAAGAAAAACACCCAAACATGCAGACTTCAGCGGAGATCTAAGACTCATCTCAAAAACTTCTATTTTGGTTCATAATTTGATATTTTCTGACAATATCAATTTTGTTGTTTTTTTCATCAATATTTTATTCTTCCTTCTTTCTTTTCGGATTAAATGAGTAGCATTGAATTGAATAGCTGTACTTAAGGTTTTAAATGCAAACTTCTCCCACAATATTCTGAACGCAGTATATCTGATTTGCAAGTATTTATACCATTATATACACACTGGAAATTACTTGTTGTCTGTCCCTTTCTCGGTCAATCATTAATTCATATTTCTGTTTCCCTCGATACTTCACTTTCAACTTAATATAACTTCAGGACAACTTGAAAATAACATTTTAAAGAGAACGTCTACATCCTTTTATCCACTCCAATGTTTTCCCTTCGTCTCCTGAAGGCAGTGACCCATACTGACCATTCTTCCTGTGTAAGCTGGGTGGCATGTGTTACTCGCTATTCAAGCAGCGTGGAGTGGGGCAATCACAACCAAGCCCAATGCTGTTCTCAGCCAATGTCTCCAGGTACACTTTGTTGCAAGGATCAGTGGATAGTGATGAGGAGCAGGAACTCTGACTTATCCTCCTCCACCACCCTCACCAGCCAAGGAGTGCTCAAATTAATTTTGACTGAGATCAGTTAACTGAGTGCATTTAACCTAGGACCCTCCAATATGGTTCATTGTCATATCATGTGGTGCAAATAATCACTGAGCAAATCTTTTATCAATTATAATATGTATATTTAAATTGTGAAAAAACAAAGTAGAGGGCATGGAAAATAGATGATATATTCAAGACTCTAGAAACCTTTTCAGGTGTTGCTGATCTTAGTTCTGTATTCTTACATTATATAATGGTGGGGGAGAGGTCTGTTTAACAGCCTCTGTATGTTTCATCTCTCTTTTCACTAAGCCACTGGCTACTGAAAAATAACCAGACGCAAGGAACTTAAAAGCAAGGAATTTGTGCAAGACTACCACATGTGGAGTCCTGTAGCTCACTCGGCTCGCAAGCGAGAGACCTGGGTTTGATTCCCAGCAGGGCGAAACGTTGGGCAGGTTTTCTTACTCCACACGCCTCTGTTTACCTAGCAGTAAGTAGTAACCCAGTTGTTAGTCGATTTGCGGATCGCTTTTCCAGGGGTAATAATTCCTTCAAAAAAGTAGAAATAATAAATTGGTCAATCAATCCACGACTGTTTGTGGGACACTGCTGCTAGCAATTGGCTGTCATGTTTCGCCCACAGTCAATTCACTTTACATTTATACTGTGTGAACTACTTTGAGACGTCTTGAAAACGTGATAAGGTGCTATATCAAATGCAAGGATTATTATTAAGAGAGGATCATTGGCCCTGGTGAATTAATTGACAAAGAAAGCACATTTTAGCAAAATTCGATTGGGAATAAATTGAGATGTGGGGACCCAGAAAGTCAACATCCTTGACAGGTCAAATAATCACTAAGAATGCCGTTTATGAACAAAACATTATAGGGCAATATAACATATTAATTCTTGAGGTAAATGGAACAACAGTCAATCAATTATTTGTTAACATGTAATTACCTATTAGGAGAAATCTATCCACCAAAAGCAAGGCTGATCTCAATAAACAATTCCTGACCGCATGTCAAAGTCTTGGCAGAAAGGGATCGTTGCACACGATTGGTTAATTGCTTTTAAATGCCTGACCTATTGATCAGAAGCAAAGTGAAGCCTACAGCATTAACAGGCTGGTGCTATCGATGCCTGGGGTGTGGAGTCCCACTTCATAGTCAATGTTACCATGCTGTTTCACTTTGTGTTTATGCAGGTTTGTGCGTCGAGCGATCAGACTAGACAGATTTTTGTATAGAGTGTAACTGCGCATGTACAGTGATAGTGGAGTGGTCTCTGGACTAATTTATTTATGTATTTATGGTTAGAGTGGAGTGCTGTAGCTTAGGGATTGGAGCACTTGCTTGGCAAGCGAGAGGATCTGGGTTCGATTCCTGGACAGGGCGAAACATTGGGCAAGTATCCTTGCACCACTTGCGCCTGTTCACCTAGCAGTATGTAGGAACCCATTTGTTAATCAATTGGCGGATCGCTTTTCTGGGGTAATGTTCCTTTCAAAAATAGATAAATAGATAATTTGTTCACTCAATCCACGATTATGGGACACTGCTGGGAGCAATTGGCTGCTGTGTTTTGCCCACAAAATATACAGTCAATTCACTTTACAGTGTATTCTGTGAAGCGCATTGAGACGTCTCGAAGACATGATAAGGAGCTATATCAAATGCAAGGATTATGATTATTATAGTGTTGAGCTGGTAGTATTGTTGCTTTTGATGGCAAATTCCTATATATAGGATGGTACAGGACCCAAAAAGACTATCGCCCAGTCAATCTGGCAAAGTGTAATATAAAAAATAACTAATCCCACACTACTCTTATCTCTCATACTCAATTGAAGCTTTTGCCAAAAAGCTATCTAATTCCCTCTTGAATTTATTGATGCAATTAGGTTATATAAAACCACAAGCATCTCTGCCACTTTTTTTCTATGCTTTTCTTTCACCTTCTACAATGGGCAGCCAGATGTGGGAGGTGGCATCCAGGAGAGCCAGTCTGCTTATGATAATTGATCAATACGCTAATACTCATGACTGTTTATGTAATATCCCTTCTAGTTATTTCTGGTTGCATAATCTTTGCCATTGCTGTAATTATCATCAGCAAACTCATTGATCATGTGTAAGAAGCTCACATCACCGCACTTCATAAAGCAGTACAGCAACATCTGTATCCCCCCCCACACACACATACACACCCTGCTTCCCCCCATCCCTCCAGCCTGCATTACAGATTTGCTGTAGCTCAATATGCCTTTTAAATTAAATGCCTACGCACTGTTACGCTATATTTGCATTTGCTTCAGTTCACCTTTAAAAGCTATTTCACCATCTGTCCAGCATATAGATGGGTTATCACAGTGCACAGCAAAGAAAACGATTAATTTGCCAAATGTGCACACAACGTTAATAACATATTCAAAGTTCTGGCAGAAGAGTAGTGCTCAACTAGAGAGTAACTTAATAAGAGCAAATAGGCAAGAAATAGACATGTCTCAGGCAATCAGTTTGATGAAGCATTACTTAGTGCACATACAGCACAATCATCACAGAAGTATTGTGATAGTGACAGCTTATTTTGATGAATGGGACTCTTCAAATCTAATTTTATTGCATATATCCCACTCTTGTTCATCTTTTGATTGTTTTGTATTGTTTTTTAAAATCGGAAATCACACATGCACACACAAACACACATATTTATGTATATATATATATTTATGAAGCAATTCAGCCTTCTCAAATGGTTTCTTTTCTTCTTAAACAATAAAGGATTGCTTAGCCTCTGGACATCTTCATGGATCAGTAACTGGAATTATTTCTTTTCAAAGTTCTTTGTTGCTTAGCAGCTTTGGTAAGTTAACTGTTTCCTTCAGAACCCAACAAAACTCAACACGACCCAAAGGAAATTAATCCTAAATGGGGAATGAAATATTCTACTGCAGTACAGACATTGATCTAGACAGCAGAACACGGAAGAGCTGAAACAAGCAGAACAGGGCAAGAGAGGAGAGAGAATTTTACTTAACGTTGCCATGATAATATTTACCAGTGTACAGGCTTGGTGGGCTGAATGTCTTTTCCCTTGTAAATGTTTTAAAATTCTCTTATTACACAAAGACAAATGAACTACTGTATCTGCAAGCTGTTAACAACAAAAATAATATAAAGCTACTGACCTGATGAACAATTTTCACAAACCTTTGATGCCCAAGAAACAAGGCAATGGAAAGCCTTCTAAATAAATAATCCCTCCAAAACAAAACAATAATAAATTGGTCATTTTCAATCTACGACTGTTTGTGGGACATTGCTGTACCCAATTGGCTGCCGCCTTTGCCCACAAATATATAGTCAATCCACTTTACAGTGTGTTCTGCGAAGCGCTTTGGGACATCCCCCCGACCTGAAAAGCGCTATATCAAATGCAAGGATTATTATTATTATTAAGGAATATTATTATTATAAGTAGGTTATGTGGGGCATAACCCTAATTGTGAACTATGTGAGGGAGTGGGGGGGGGGGGGGGGGGGTGGCTAGGATACAATGCAAGCAATTCTCTTTCTTGTTCTCTTGAATTAGAATGTAAACCAAGGATATACTTAAAGAAAAGGTGCACGTAGCTTTTCTTTAAAATATAATCATGTCCTTGAGCATACAGAGGTACCTTACAGTAAGAATGTCGGTTGCTCAACAGAGTTGGCAGTAGCTCATTGGGTGTGAGCCATTTAATTGTCACAGGCAATTCATTCGGGCATAAAGGAACTCACTGGGGACTGGAGGCAGCTCAGTAGAGCAGTGGAGGTAGCTCATTGAGGAATTCATTGGGGACGTGTTGTGGGTTCAAGGGAACGCTGAGATAGCACTTTAGAGTCAGAAGCTGCTCAAAATATTCAGTTCTAGAGTGTAAAATGGCTGTGTTGTTGGCCAT